CGTACTACATGCACACTGTCCGTGCTCTTTTTCCAATTTTTCTTTCTCCCGTTTTCTTGTTTCCTTTACTAGAGGAAAACTGAAGTTCACTTTAGAAATTCTGCCTAACTCAGAATTCTTTCTTTTAACTTATTTAAGAGTTTGTAAAGCTAAAAAGTCTACGGAAGAATGTTAAAGTTTAGTTTTATTACTTTTAAGTAGATTTCCCGGCCTATTGTAGAATACCAAACTGACAGCTGTTGTTATTGGGATAAACCAAGGTGGTTTGTTAAGGTTAAATAAGTATTTAACCACTCTAGGTGCACGGGAAATGTCGTCTTCATAGCAATGGACAGTCAAAGTCCTCGTATAGCAATACTCAGTATTTGAGGAAAAATAAGTGAGAAGGGGGAAGAATTTTCTCCGCTTGTCAGCTGTAATGTCATAAGAGGATTTTGACTGACCATTGCTATGAAGACGACATTTTCCTTACAAAGGAGCGCATCGAGAGTAGGCAACCTTACTAAACAACCTTGCGCTTAACGCACTTTTAGAAAAAACATGTTGCTTCTAATATCGAATAATCGAAACCATAATAAAATTACAAAGATTTAGTTACAATTAGAGAACAGCATTTTAGGAATATCTAAAACAATTTTAGCTGGATATAACTCAGTGTCCTGGCAAATTATTAAGAGTATTCTCTCAAGGGAATTAATTACCTGCCACAAACTCTAGTTTTGCGATGGTGAAAACTCGTAATATTTCAAACTATTCAATTCCATGTTGGAAATATTAAATGACATCAGGTTGCTAGTATGGTTGTAAATGATGAGAAAATCAGTTTTATTTTTTTTACAAATTCTGAAAATAATGTTCTCATATTCTTATAAAAATTATCGTAATTCATAAATGGTTTTACAAGTTTTATTTCAATAACAGTGTGGTTCACAGACACACCGAGAAATTTAGTCGTTGTTTATATCAATACAATAAACGCGACACGTTCGAATTAAATTTTTGATTTCTATCAAGCTTTCGAACAGTATGAATACACTTAAACATGGATAAAAAGAGAAGCTGTCAATTGCAATTTGTTTATTTGTAAACTTTAAATTGAAAAAAAAAGCTTTTTAGTAATTAAAACTTAAAAAGAAAAGTCGTCTTCATTGTATTGATATAAACACCATCCACTGTAATAAAAATATAAAATCGGGTTTTCATTGTTTTCAAGTTTCTACAGATGACAGGCAGAAATTAGCACTTTGTTACCATTTATACTAAATTACTTGCAGTATTTCATTTAAACTAACAATTATTATTTCACAAAATGAGGGAACACCAGGGCCAGAGGCCACGGGGGGGGGGGGGA